AATGTCTCCTGGGTGAGGATGGATGGGTGATGGGTGGATGGGATGGTTTGGATGGATGGATGGATGGATGGATGGATGGATGGATGGATGGATGGATAAATGGGTGGATGGGATGGTATGGATGGATGGATGGGTGGTGGGTGGATGGGTGGGTGGATGGATGGATGGTTGGATGGATGGTGGATGGATGGATGGATGGATGGATGGATGGATGGATGGGTGGATGGGATGGTTTGGATGGATGGGTGGTGGGTGGGTGGTTGGATGGATGGATGGATGGGTGGGTGGTGGGTGCATGGATGGATGGGTGGGTGGGTGGATGGATGAATGGATGGATGGACAGAAGGGGAAATGATAATTTATTCTCTGCAACACAATATTTCAGTTATATAGAAGTAAATGACAACATTTACTGTGGTAGAAAATGATGAGTCAAGATTTACTGCAGTATAATACTGTAGATTTACTGCAGTATAATAGATTTACTGCAGTATAATAGATTTACTGCAGTATAATAGATTTACTGCAGTATAATACAACTCCCCAACTTTATGGATGATTTTTGGGTTATAATTTTATACATGTATAAATACCATAGTGCTGTTGTTTTTCACAGGCCCTGCCTGGCAGGCTGGAGCTGACTGAGATAGATGAATCAAAGTTTTTAGAAGAGAATCATCTTGTTTTTCTGCAGACTTATTGTGAATTCTAGTTCTGAACATGTTTTTCTCACACAGTGAACTTTGTGTTGTGGCTAAAATAGTAGTGGTTTGAGCTTGTGTGCTGTGTTTGTGTCTGTGTGCAGGCTAACCCTCCATCGTACGACCGGTCAGAAGACCTGGCTTCGCTGCTCTACCTGAATGAATCCAGCGTGATGCACTGCCTGAGGCAGCGCTATGGAGGAAACCTCATCCACTCTTTCGCTGGACCCAACATGGTGGTCATCAACCCACTCAGCGCACCCTCCATGTACTCTGAGAAGGTGAGGGAACGTGACCGGCTCACACGGGCTCCATGACACTGCAGGATCTTTATTCTTTGGTCTCCGACAGGTGATGCACATGTTCAAAGGCTGTCGCAGAGAGGACACYGCTCCTCACATCTACGCTGTGGCCCAGTCGGCCTACAGGAACCTGCTCACCACCCGCCAGGATCAGTCCATTGTGCTGCTGGGAAAGTCTGGCAGCGGCAAAACCACCAACTGCCAGCACCTKGTCCAGTACCTGGTCTCCATCGCTGGAAGCACTGGCAAGATCTTCTCTGGTAGGTTTTCTGAAAGAAGGAACTTCCCAACATCTGAAGATGTCTAAATGAATGCAGTTTTATTTAAAATGCTTTAACTGATGAACCATATTTATCTGCTTAGCTGGGTTAGGGTCTGTATAAAATGTTATGACATTTTGTAGGACTGGTATCTGTTTTCTGTATTGGTACTTGAACTTGGTTTGGAGAACTAGGGTGTCTATGGCTGTGTCTAAATTCAGGGGCTGGCTAGGCCTGCCACAATAAACAATAAATCAATTATTCTTATGATAAATTAAATTGAGGAAGATAAATTAAAATGAAGACAATAATTTTCATTTGTTTGCTTGTTTCTTTGTTTTTTCGTGTCTCCCTCTTTTCTACTTCTTAGCGTAGAGTAGTGACCTGTGGTGTCAGGTATTTGCGTAGCACATGGTTTCCTCTGTAGCATGAAAGCCTGTGAACAGGTCAGTTTTCTGATGCCTTCATACAGCTGGCAATGCCTTGGGATTGCAGACAGTTGTTTTTTTACACTGTAAATTTTAATGTAAATTTCCGTAAACGGGCTTATACTAGCTGCATTTCCATTGACCATGAAAATGCGCAAATTAGAATTTTGAAAATAAATTTGCTCAATTGAAACACGTCAATTGAAAAAATTTACTTTTTTCGACAAAATGTTTTTGCGCTAGGATGAGGTGGTTTTTCGGCCGTGTCGAAATTGGTGTTTTTCGCAAAACTGCAATGGAAACACTTTTTTCGCATCACGAGAGTCACATGATCAACAATCGGCTGTTTCTACTGGCGAAAAAGACGATGACAAAGAAGATAACAGGAAGTAGAAGTAGTAGTAATATCACAGAAGTAGTATAAAATAGTAAACTCACCAGCTACATTTTCCCAAAAACACAGCATACGTAGCCGCTCCCAAGTAGACCTTGTCTCTGGAAAGCCTCGATAAAAGACGCCGACGTCTCCTCTGATGATGAGCGCTAGTGTCGTGGTAGCAACATGCTATGTGTTTACATCCATCGCCWCCATGTTTGTAATGACTTATCRYGAGAACAAACSTATTCACGCATGACTTTAATAGCATTTCTTACTTAATGGAAACACCGCAGTTGTGAAACTGTTTTTTTAGACATTAACAGAATATCGACAAAGTTTTGCGCACATTTGCAATGGAAACACAGCTATTGTTAYATTAGTTTAAACTGGTCTACAACAATATCATTCATGGCAATAATTTCTGAGACAWTTATCTTCCAGTAAAATTTGTTATTGTGACAGGCCTAGGGCTGGGCCCTCCGAAGGCTAACAAGTKCCTCCTCCTTTTTCCCTGGTTTGAGGCCGGGGTAAGGGCGGGAATAAAGCAAAAAACTAGATCGTTCTAATTCACAGCCACTTTTTTATGGTCTTTGCGTCGACCWAGGACCCAGCCCACCTAGGCCGGGTCCTTTGAAGGACCCAGCCCYTGAATTTGGACTTAGCCTACAAGTCATGCTGGAACATTTCAGTTACTGTACCTCCTGTAAACTTAATGACCTCAGGGAGGATTTCTTCTGTTGCACGTTAATCTTACTCCAGGAGACTGAACTGATAATCTGCTTGTTCTCCTCCATGGTTCCACAGCTGAGAAGTGGCAGGCCGTCTACACCATCCTGGAGGCTTTTGGGAACAGCTCCACAGCGATGAACACTAACGCCAGCCGCTTCTCTCATGTGGTGTCTCTGGACTTCGACCAGGCGGGTCAGGTGGCCTCTGCCTCCATCCAGGTACCACACACCTGACAGATGTACCCAGCTGCCCCTGGCCTGTGAGACGTGCTCTGTAAGAAACTTGTCTTGTCCTGCACAGACCATGCTGCTGGAGAAACTGAGGGTGAGCAGAAGACCTGAAGCAGAGTCCACGTTCAACGTGTTTTACTACATGATGTCTGGAGCCGACAACAGTCTGAGGTCAGCAGCTTTCTCTACATTTTACCAGWGTTGTATAAAGTACCACAAAGTGAAACTTGAGTAAAAGTACAAGTATCTTACCAAATACTTACTTTGGTAAAAGATAGTCTCCTTTAGGAATATTACTTGAATAAAAGTCTTAAACTATCTGATATTTTTTGTACTTAAGTATTAAAAGTAAAGTATTGATTTAAAATGAGCAGTTAGATTTTCTGTAAGGACATTTATTAGGAGGTGACCTCCCCAAAAACTGACTATATTGTATTAAAATAATTAATGTTAAATTTAGGATGCACTAGTCCAACTGTTTCAGTTTATATACATATATCAAGGC